AAATATATAATTAAATTTACAAATGCTATTTACAGGTTTAATTACAAAAAAAAAAGAAAAAAGAGAGAGAGAGAGAGAGACACCCCTTAGACGTTAATAAATCTTAAAAATAATAATAAAACAAAACAAAAAAAATAAGAGAGTCCTGCACCGCGCGGCGGAGGCCGGGCRCCTCACACCGTCGTCTCGCCCTGCTTGCTGTTGGTGAGGCGCGTGTAGAACTTGCGCCACGAGTGCAGCGTTTTGCCCGACCATATCCAGAAGCCCGAGGTGATGCCCACGATGAGAGTCATGAGATACTTGATCATGTAGACGGTGAAGTCGGGGGTCATGCGCGGCGTGAACTGGAGCGGGCAGGGGATGGCCAAGCTCTTGCAGTTCTGGCTGATCCAGCTGCGCTCCCAGTGCTCGCGGAAGGCCTGCTCGTAGAAGTAGCAGGCGATGACGATGGTGGCGGGGACGGTGTAGAGCACGCTGAAGACGCCGATGCGCACCATGAGGCGCTCCAGCTTCTCCGTCTTGGTGCCGCCGTGCTTCATGATGGTGCGGATGCGGAAGAGGGACACGAAGCCGGCCAGCAGGAAGGAGGTGCCGATGAAGAGGTAGACGAAGAGCGGGGCCAGCACGAAGCCGCGCAGCGGGTCGATGTTGTTGAGCCCCACGAAGCAGACGCCGCTCAGCAGGTCCCCGTCGATCTGCCCCATGGCCAGGATGGTGATGGTCTTGACGGCAGGCACGGCCCAGGCGGCCAGGTGGAAGTACTGCGAGTTGGCCTCGATGGCCTCGTGGCCCCACTTCATGCCGGCCGCCAGGAACCATGTGAGGGACAGGATGACCCACCAGATGGAGCTGGCCATGCTGAAGAAGTAGAGCATCATGAAGAGGATGGTGCAGCCCTCCTTCTTGGTGCCCTGCACCACCGTGCGGTAGCCGTCCTCCTGGAAGCGCTCGTTGCAGACCACCCTCTCCTCCAGCACAAAGCCAGCAATGTAGGCGACCGACACCATGGTGTAGCAGCCTGAGAGGAAGATGATGGGCCGCTCGGGGTAGCGGAAGCGCTGCATGTCCACCAGGTAGGTGGTGACGGTGAAGAAGGTGGAGGCGCAGCAGAGCACGGACCAGATGAGGATCCAGATGCGGGCGAAGCGGATCTCGTCCTCGTTGAAGAACATGTGGCCGTCGGGGCGGCCGGGCTCGCAGGGCGCCGCGCAGTCCTTCTCACCCAGGAACTTGTAGTTGAGGTAGCTGGGCACCTTGAGGGCGCGCGGGCAGTGGAAGGGGTGGTCGAGGGTGGCGTAGCGGGGCGCGCCGGGGGTGCCCTGGCCCGCGAGCGGCGTGGCGCTGGTGAGCAGCGCCGGCGAGCCGCCGTCCTCCGAGTGGTTCTGCCCCACGCAGATCTGCTCGGCGCCGTGGCGCGGGAAGTTCTCGCAGCGCAGCCGCTCGGGCCACTGGAAGCCGAACTTGTTCATGAGGGCCTCGCAGCCCTGGCGGGCGCGCTCGCAGATGGAGCGGCACGGCGGGATCGCCTGCTCCAGCACCGTGCACACCGGCGCGTACATGGAGCACAGGAAGAACTTGAGCTCCAGCGAGCACTGCACCTTGACCAGCGGGTAGAACTGGTGCACCTCGAGCCCTGCGTCCTCCTGGTTCGTGTGGCCCAGCAGGTTGGGCATGATGGTCTGGTTGTAGGCGATGTCGGTGCAGAGCGGGATGGAGATGGGCTGGCAGAAGCCGTGGTCCGGGATGGAGATGCCCTTCTCGCCGTGCAGCTGGCCCCGGCTCGGCGCGCTCAGCGCCAGCAGCAGCCAGGCCAGGCGGGACAGCCCGGCCCAGGACTGCGTGCCGCCCGCCGCCCCCATCGCCCGCAGCTCCCGGGTGGCTCTCCCGGACGCAGCAGCTCCGTTATCCACCCCGCGGCTCCCGATCAGCGTGCCCGCGGCCTGCCCCGCTGCAGCCCCCAGCCGCACCTCGCATGCCCCAGGGCCGGCGGGGGCGGCTCGATGTGCGGCGCCCGCTGCTTGTGTCCAGTCCCCGTGCACAGTCCTGAAGCGTGCGATCCGGTCCCGGTGCGTGGTGCCAGTGCCCGGTCCTGGTGTGCGGTGCCCAGCGCGTGTTGCCCGTCTGGGGCTCAGCAGTCCCGGTGCCCAGTGCGCGGTCCTAGTGCGCAGTGCCCACACGGGGCTCGGTGGTCCTGGTGCCAGTGCACAGTGCCCGGTCCACGGTGCAGGTCCTAGTCTGGGTGCAAGCTGCCCGGACCTGGTGCCTGCGCGGGGTTCGGCGGTCCCGGTGCGCGGTGTGGATACGTGGTGCCCGCGTGGGACTCGGCGGTCCCGATCCCGGAGCGGGTGCCCGCGCGGGGCTCGGCGCTGCCGGTGCCGGTTCGGGTGCCCGCG